TTTTTCCCATTACAATCTTATTCTAAGAAAACTTTAAGGAAAAATGTCCCGAAAAGCGCTCGAAATACAAACGAAATGTGCTCATGCCCCCTGGGCATCCTATAATACTCCTTAACTCGAATTTATTCAATATGGCCGCCGTATCGGTAAAAAGGTCTATTGTGCCACCCATTGCTAATTGGATCCAGGCTATTTTCTCACTACACCGGATAGTTCTTGCGCCGCGAACGCGAAAACCGTCCCGGACAGGGCTTCTTTTCACACATAAGAACGGTGGTTTCCGTGCGATTTCTGTAACGGAGCGAAGATGCGCCGCGATGATCGTGATAGACCAGCACCATTAGGACAGTAGCGGAAGTAAATAATATGGTTTTCTCACTGCATATAAAATGAGCGAGCATGCCTGCATTCTTCTAACCTTAAGAGTTCTTAGCAATAGCTCACTTCGGAAAAGAGTGATAGGATCAAATTGAATCTAGTCGCTCAATTTTTCACAATAATATTAGAAGCGTCAATCGTAACCTCGAAAATCTAGTGACTCATTATTTACTTGAATTAGGTATTCACTTCAGCGTAATAGTGTCACGGAAGCTAAAATCACCAATTCTAATGAGAATACAGGCCTCTCAAACATACTCCGTTACGTTTTTGAACACGTTCCAACACCTCTCGCATGTGGTGGTGTAGGCCTCTTTGTCGATGAAACACGTAGTTATTCCGTTTTAGAAAAAGCTTCGACCGAATCTTTCCAGGCATTCTGGATAGAAATTTCTTTTGTTAAGAAGAAAAACGTTATCTGTGGAGTCTTATACCGTCAACACAATTCTCCAGAGAACTTTCTTAAATACTTGGAAATTTACTTCGACAGGAAAGAACTTACGTCTCTTAGGTGATTTTAATTTATGCGTACAAAAAAACGAAACCTGTAATTACAGTCGCGACTTCTTGCTGGGTCTTCAAAGTTGTTATCTCCCTCCAAATATTGACAAACCAACACGTGTTCACAAAAATTCTGCAAGCTTAATCGATAACATTTTTGTGAACAATCCTGCGCAGGTGCTAATCAGCGGTAATCTCATTACTGATGTCAGCGATCATTTTTCGCAGTTTTGTATTTTGACATCAACAAGAGATAAAATTAAATGGAAGCAAATTACAAAACGCAATCTTTCGCATTTCAATTCCGACAGTCTTAACAGCGACCTTGCTAGGATCGACTGATATCCTTCAAACTGAAGACTCCTATGTTGATGTACCCTGCGAGTAGAGTCTCCTTCGATCTTCCTAGATAAGTCGAAGGAGACTCTGCTCGCAGGGTAATGTTGATATGGATACGATTATTGTGAAAATGAAAAAGTAATTCTCTTGTCCTTTATTTTCATTTAATATTATTTTTAAAATTTCACTCCAATATTGTTCTTGTATGTTACTGTAAAATATATATACTTATATAACGTCTAATTTCTTTGTATTTGTCTGGTTTGTAGTAAATTATGTAGCCTGGCCTGCCTCGAATAGCCTCGCTAACTGCAGGCCAGTCCCAATGTATTTTTTGTTATATTTCCAAATTTAAATAAAGTTAAAGTTGAAGTTGAAGTTAAAGCCTGGGATCCAAACTAAGCGCGGACGCATTTATGGGATTGTTTGGGGGGGAACAAGTGGAGCAACCACCTTGGATTATGACGACGGTGAGGGAACGAGAGAGAGACGGTGAGAGAATGAGTTTACAGAATGGCATGTGGCTTGGCTTGCGGAAAGACATAACTAAAATTGAAGCACAGCTGATACACCAAATAGGGTCACTCTTTATCATAATGCTAGAGGGTAAAAAACGCTCGCTGAACGTGAAGTCGGGATAGCTACAATTTTAGGGATTTTTTTTACGGTGAACCAGTAGATCACATTCCAGACTAAATGAACGCCTGGAGTCAAACATTAATCCGTAATCCACAAATCGAGTGAAGCGACGAACTTTTCTCTGTCTCCTTTCGGCCTTTCTGCGTCTCTTCGCTGATCGAGAACTGGCCAAGTCATTAATATCTATTTTTTTAGCAGTTAGTTTGATACCCGACCAGTTTTACTAACTTTATATCAGTAAAGGTGAGGGAGAAAAAATGCTAAAAGTAGGAAAGAAAAGAAAAAGAAAAGAAAGAAAGAAAGAAAGAAAGAGAGAGAGAAAGAAAGAAAGAAAGAAAAGAAAGAAAGAGAGAGAGAAAGAAAGAAAGAAAGAAAGAGAGAAAGAGAGAGAGAAAGAAAGAAAGAAAAGAAAGAAAGAGAGAGAGAAAGAAAGAAAGAAAGAAAGAAAGAAAGAAAGAAAGAAGAAAGAGAAAAAGCACACAAACTCGATTGCCCGGATTTGAGCTCGCACTTCTCCGCCAGCTGTTAGCTTCGCTTGCCTGAAACTTCACCACGTAGCCAAGGAAACAAAATTCAAGATAGGTTCGATCTCTGAATATATGTCACGATCAAACACGCGAACCGTCTTAAAAAGAAACACTTTTCACGTGATTTCATTAATATAGGTAAAAAAGTGACGTTAATAGTTCAAACATTTTGACCTTGATATCGTGACCTTCCAAAATATCTTTTCTTCAATGGTCGACTTTCGTGATGTAGTATCGGTGCTGCCAGCAGCCCGCCTAATAAAGGCAAGTAGAATCTTTGTCGCTGAGCAATAAGCTAATCGACCGAATGAAATCAAGGAGTCTTTCCTGGCTTTTTGATTGTCATCGTAGTCAAGCCCGCAACATCAAATAGCGGCTGCTTGTGAGTTGATTGGCGCCAAAAAAGGGCGCAATTTTCAGTTTAACTTATTTCTTTAAGTTATTCTGCATATATTACATTCCGCATAATTATGTCATTCCAAAAGCCATGCCACATGCCATTCCGCAAACTCATTCCGCCTTTTACCCTCACCGTTATGACGAGCCATGCACGTTGTTGTGTGCCAAATAACTTCAGGAACTCCCCTAAAACATTCCACTTCGCTTTCCGCCATGTTTGTTAACATTCGCGCCCCCCAAATAATCCCATAAATGCGCGCGCGCCCAGTTTGGGTCCCAGGCTATCACTCTTTTCCGAAGTGAGCTATTGGGTCAATTATGATCCTTTGCGGCCTTCTAAGTAAACTTAAATTTGGGCTTCGCGGTGTGAAATCTCGCAGTTTGACGGGATTGCCTGCTGGAAGTGCTTTTCGCCCCTCTCACCTCCCCTTGTGGCGGTTACCGCATCACCAAACCTTGCTGCATATCTTTGTCAAGGCAGTCGCGGATTCGTCCCATAACTTAGTTTGCCGCGATGCAACAATAGATATGCAGAGAGGATAGATTACAAAGATTTGCAATATTGAAGTTCCCTCATATCTGCTTGTTTCAAATTGGAAAGCTTATGTATTTCTATAAAATAGGAGTGCTCTCCAATGTATTCAAAGAAATGTTTTAAAAGACAAATCAAGTTCATTCCTGTTCCAGATGAGAAATCTTCTTTCCTGCACGAACAAATATAAGAATTTTTGGTATAAGATTTCAGGGTCCAAAATTTTTCAATTCACTACATACATTGTCCTGGCTGACGTCAATCCCTGAAGAAAGCGGTTCCGATGTTGACCCGACGGTGAGACGAATAACAGACAAAAATAACCTTCGCAGCCGATTGGCGCGAACTAATAACAGACTTCAAATAATTTTTCATGGGCTACAGGGATTCACTGTCCTCTTTTAAAATCTAGATCGAGAGCATTTCTCCTTAGCTGATTTGGTTTTTTTGCTGCTCTTTGTCCGTTTATTCTGTTTTAATTCGCTCGCTTTTCCAGGGGCACCCAACGTCAATTTTCGGAAAATATCTGTTCGGAAGACGATTTGAGATCTAGAATTTTCGGATCGTTTGTTGTAAAATTTCTTGCTTCCTGCCTCTCGTAGGATCTTCGAACATCTAAAAAATGGTATAATTGTCCATTTTTAACGGATTTTTACCCTGAAAAGGTCACCTAGAATTTTCGAGAGCCTTTTTTCTGAATGAAATTTTCGAAAAGGTAAGTTTTGATCCCTTTAATTTTCGGATTACTAGACTTTCAGCTAGGAAATCCGAACAGATGACAAATTTTTAGGGGATAAAAATATGCCTATATCTACCGCACCGTTTAAATACTAAAATACGTTCAACAATGCTATGTTTAAGTAGTGTTGAACTACATTCTCGTTGCGTGCCCCTTCTTTATATCGTAACTTATATTTCAACATGATTTCACCGTTCATTTATTGTATATATAGTCTTAACCCCTTAGGTTTCAATTTGAACTTCCTCGCCAGATGAATATTTCTGATTCTTTTACCTTATTATAGGAAATAAACGCTTCATGAAATTAACGCGAATTTCAAAATTTTGCGTTAATTTCTTGAAACGTTAATTTCCGCGCCATTGAATAAGTGGAGCCTTAATTTCCGCGACCTTAATTTCCATTATTTTTGGGAAAGAGGAGTACTTTACCAGGTTGGAGATTCGCCAGTAACAGTGAAACTGAGAAGAACTCTTGAAGTAAAGTGGCCACATTTCTTCGCTTGACCCCTTTGGTACGTTTGGGTAAGGTACGACGAACAAAGTTTCCTTTTCGGATTATACGTTTAGCTTTGTTTCAGTTGTCTCAACAAGTTTTGTTTCGTTGTACCGCCGGGTTAATTTCCTTCATTTGAAATTTATCCTCTATTTTGCGTTAATTTCCTTTATTTGGAAGTCGTTCAAGTTTTCCACTAAATTCGCGTAAATTTCAGTCGCATCAATTTTCAATACCTTAATTTCATGGAGCGTTAATATTATTTCCTATAATAAGGTGCTTATCTAATTTGTGCCAACCATTATTATTATGGCAGTACAAACGTCTGGATGCCCAGAGTAAAAAATAAAAGCTTTGGATGGGCGGCAAACCGTAACCAGCTGCAGCATCGACTAAAATTTGTCGTAACAATTACACAATAATTTGCGCAAAAAAAACCTGGGTAAAAATGATTTGATAAAAGTGTAATAAAAAAAAATTAATGATAAAAAAGATCCTACAAGCTTTATGGACGTCTTAACTATAAAATAAAGCCCTGATTTTTTCAGGCTTCTTCTTTCCAATTGCTTAAATTGGAAAATTTACTGCGATGATCATTCTTCACTTTTATAAAATAAAAATGATCATAAGTTAAAAACCAACGTTCATATAGCTGTCCACTTAATTATGGGAACGTCTAAGGTATGTAAATAAAATTTCGATAATGTACAAGATAAAGTATCTGTTAAAATAGGCGTCCAATATTCCTATAGATATCTAAGCACTCAGCTTGAACTTTCTAGCAATATGTAATGAACTAGACAGGATTGCCTTTTACATTTGGCGCATAATTGATTCACACTTGTTTCCGACAAGCTCTGTTATTATTATTATTATTATTATTATTAATATTAATTTTTTAATATATGCAGAATAAGTCTCACCCATAGGCCTTCATGGCTTCTTGAGACTTCCTCGCCTTTTGAAATTCTTTTCTTTCGAATTGTGTATATTAATTACGTGTAATTTAATGTTTTTTCCCCTTCATTTATATGTAAAAAAAGGCAAAAAAAAAAATCAATAAACAATAAACAATAGTATTAAATGGTCTTTTTTTCCTAGTAAGTAAATATTCTGAAACTGAAACTGAAAACAGTAATTTTCTTTGGTAAATCTATATCCTAGCCTGCGATGCACCGGGGCAGTGCCCAAAGTCTAAATAAAAATATGAAATTATGCTTTGTTAGCAAAAGATAGAGAAGTAAATTTATCGCAAATTCGAATTCGGATTGGCTCATAATTATGAGCGAGATATTTCTATAACAAACGGCGTCCAGTGCCTTTGACACAGACTAATAACTTCCACATTTCTTGAGGTTCCTTCTTTTTCTTTTGTGTCAAACGTTTTTACGTTTAGCTTTCAGTGTTACTTTTTGCGAAAGGCGTAACTGACGCCCTTTTTGATATAATACTGCTCTTAGTAAATGAGAATCTCCGCATTTTTTTGTACGCTTCAAATTTCGCAAACTTCACGCTAATGTATTTAAAAGCGCAGCCATCCTGCCCAGGAATGGACAATTTGTTTTAACGACATCAACAAACGATAGAACAGTCAATCAGTCGATCCCAAGGTGATGTTATTACACGCCCAGATCAATTCCAATGACGATTTTTAGCCCGTTTGAGATCCTGAGTTATAGGCGCGAGGACAATACTCTTTGCAATTTTCCCTCAATTTTTGAGCCAGCATTAAAAATCGTCCTCAAAGTTGCCGACGAAATTCAGAAGAACACTACGGTAAAAATCGCACTGACATACCTTAAAAGTAGACGCTGTATTGCGCTAAAAAAAATATCGTTACAAATCGTCTTATGTAACATGCATCACTTTCAATTACGGCAGGGAACTATATAGGGCGCGGTGAAAAAAAAAAGGCTTGCAGCATCCGGCCGAAACGTCTGAGTTCATTTTTGAATCAACAGCGTTTGACTCGTCATTTTCGTTTACCATATATATTCAATATAAATTGTACTTAAGGCTCGCAGGACATATCAGTCGTGTGTAATATTTTTCTATGAACTAGGTTTTAGTGCGGAAAATTAGATCTTTCCGATATTCTTATAACTGTGATTCACGTGTTCAGTTCGAAAAAAATGAGGTCAGGTTTGGCAGCGAAGGCGTTCTTCAATTTAGAAATTTGGTTGAGCTATTTTTTTTTCTTCTTAAATTTAGAATAGATAGACAAATTTTGTTACTTTATCCAGAAAGGACCCCAGGTAGAAACAAAAAAGGCTGATTATCAGTATCAAGATTTTAACTTATCCAAATTTTGAAAAAAACATGTGCTGACCTTTCTTGTAAATGCAGGATGCACTCGCTCAGTAGTTCGGCCAGACTGGCGTTCCGTCAGCAAAAAACGGGCTAAGTAATAACAATAAAAAAAAACGAAATCGTCAGCCTATCGGCTAAATGAGCAACGACTAATTTCCGAATAATTTCAAAGATCGTGCATATAAAGATTTATCGTTCTAACTTATTTTTTATTGTACTGACCTCAGTTGCAAATGAGAAGACGTCGTTCTCGATGTACGGAATTTCTGGACGACCGCAGTCAATAACTCTCCACGGCAAATGAGCCGAAAACCCTGAGAGGAAAGAAAAAATATATATTAAAAAATTAGTATCATCTTTTTACAGAATAAACAGCCAGACATCAATGGAAGCAATAAAAGGGGTAAAAGAATTGCAACTCACCAATTAAAATGTCAGCTAGTCTCTAGTTCAACTTGTACCTAGTTGTACTTCTTCCCTACCAGAATAAGCATTTCACTTGCAGGAATTTATGGTCTCGTTTTTCAGTTGATGTGAACTGTAAGACCGACGGCTAAAAATGCGATTGTATGGAATGCGTTTTGCTGTTAGTGGATAATTTCCTGCGCATAAGTTATATTTAGTGTATTGTTCACTGAAAAACGCTATGGAAAATTATTTTTTAAGGAAAACTGACTGCCTAGTTTCCTGTCGATAAAACAAAAAACCGTAAAAGCCTTTACTATTCATTCAAAAAATGTCTCAGTTTCTTATTGTTTAAAAACCCACGGATAATTCTCGGGCCAGCTAGCGTTGACCAAATTTGGAAGACGTAGAGGGGTAACTAGTCTGTTTGGATGACATTTCTTTTTGATAAAATACAATACATCCAATATTTCCGGTTATCAAGAAATACAGTAAAAACACTGACAGTTTGATAAAAACTTAAACGAACTCTAGTCATCAACAGTGAGAAAATCGCAAATGTGCCTGTCTAGTGTAGGAGTGATCTCTGAACAACACAGCGAAACAACGATTTAGAGAACACAATACAGGAGTACATATCGCCCTGCTACTTTCAAAATGACACGTGATCCAGACAAACAACCGAAATACTATACTACACGAATTTCGGTACTTAAAAATTTTGGTTTGGCCGGTAAAGGATAGTTCAATACACGAGGAGTTTCTGAAGTTTAACGCCCACAAAAGATGAAGAGATTAGTGGCAATGCTGCTTTGTACTAAGAGGGCTTTAATTTGTCCCTTAGTTCAGTTGTAAAACAAGCAGCTGAGCGATTCTCACGAGTCTAGAAACAAATTGAGCTTCTGTACTGTTTACTGTACACAGGTGTACACAGAACCGTTTTCTTCAGATAACACCGGTGAACATCTGATCAGCTGAAGTAAATGTTTGACGAGAGTTTAGAATAATGTGAACCGAGGTACTGTACTCGTCTTCGGACTCTCCAGGGGTCCCCACCTACCCTCTCCTAAGCCAACATTTTGCCCTAAGTGAGAAGTAAGTGTTAATGTTGGCTTAGGAAACCGTTGAATAGTGGAACGGCTCCTAGGACTGTGTTCTTTCAGTTTACAAAATAAAAGTGTTTAGGTTATTGGCACTTTAAGCACCTACAAATGTACCTGAATACCAAATTAACTGTACGTAAACTGAGAAAAACATTTTAAAACAGCCGCTAACACCCCAGATAAGCTGTAAAAAAGATAGACATGGCCTCTTTAGAAATCTTTATTTTCATTTTACTTACAACTAAGAAAAAAAGAGTACACAAACGTTTTCACGTGAAGTCATAATTACCGAAGCGTAAACTGAAAAGTGCGTAAAAAACAACTTGCAGAGGGGGAGGGAGGAGGGGACCTGCGTTTCAGAAAAACCAAGCCACGAAAAAAAGAAACGTCCGCAGAAAATTGCGATACCGCAGTCATACGCCGTAAAAGCCAAATCTAAGACAAGTCTCATTCACAAATCGTGCTTTTTCAGTTTTCCACGACCTTATGACCGTCCTTGTCAATACAGAAATTGTACCATTAACCCAACGAAGAAACGTTCCTCCAAAAACAAACAAATAAAAGGATACAAAAACAACTGCTGAGGGTAATAAAGCTAAAAGCCGCAAAGTTCAAGATCCAATGCCCCCCCCCTCCCCAATTCCTCCTTTACAGCTAACTTGTTTTAAATTTTTCAGGATAAAAGAGCTTCTAATAATGTTAATACTTGTACTTCTGGTATGTCTCTCACACACTGGTCACCAAAGGAGAGGTTGGTGGCTTAGTATTTTACACGAGCCACTTGATCTCACGCATAAGCATTTGACAATTAAACATGACCTTGTGGGTGAGAAACCCGCTACAAAGTGTAGCCAAAACAACTAAGTATATTGAAACGAGTAGAAAAAATACACCGCCTTACATGACAGCCCATATTTTCCGAAGGTTCTCAAACGGAAAGGCGTTAATCATTTGATTTTCCAACCGAAATCTACGGTTTCCCCATTTAAATTCAGTAATAATGAGTGCCCCTGTTCACATTTTACAATTTTGTGACCTGCTACGAAAGATAAAACTTAGCTCTTATTAACCGAGCGAAAGGTCTGTATGGGAGAATCTTGACCGAGGTCGCCAGTACAGACCGAACGCAGTGAGGTCTGTACCAGCGACCGAGATCAAGATTCTCCCATACAGACCGACCTAGCTCGGTTAATAAGATGTTTATTATATGACCAAACACGAAAGCAAAGGAACAAAAACATAACTAATTATATTTACTTCCCCACGCGGGCTCCAGCATTTAGCTGGCTTTCTTCTGTCACTGGTCTTCAGTCTAAACGGGGCAAAAAAAACTGCTCAAAGTCCAGCTTTGTACAAATTTTTGTACAAACAAGCCAATTTTTTCATATTCTTTGTTTGTAACTTTTTGAGGACAACTGTTACAACAAGATCGGTCTAGATGCCGGTCTAGATGGGAAAATCTAGACCGCGGTCAAGATAGATCTTAGCCAATCAAATTCTCGAATTTGTTTGTTTCCAGTCCTTTTGAGACATGGCCATATAATAATACCTTATAATACAGAAACACAAAATTCATGAAGTATAAGCATATCACAGAAAGGAATTGCTGTGAGTGATCATTTGCGTGGTCACACCTACCAAATTCACCAGTGACTGTTGAAAAGTTTATGATAACCAACTTGAAGAGCGTAATAAAATTAACAAAGAAAAATGCCGCTCAGTAGTTGTCCGCAGCTTTTCCTTGATCACAACTTAGGACCAACAGAAACGTTAAAATCTAAAACGTTACATCTGGCGAATTTTGTAAAGCACATTAAAAAAAAACAAAACAAAACAAAAGAACTTTCTGAGCCCTCTCTTAAACGTTCAAAGAGAAAAGAAACCATCCTGTTGCCTAAATGAGAATTTACAATACGATATCATGTCGTTTATACAAAATGAAGGACTCTTTCAATTAGTGCCCAAACTCCCTGTCTGGGAGGAGGACTGGTGCAAGTAGTGTCCACAGATACAGAGCGAGGCAGGCCCAACTGGAGCTGACTTTGACCCACACTGTGGCCCAGTTGCTAGTCAGGGTAGTGAAGTCAGAACCCTGTGGACTATTAAAAAAAAAGATAAAAAGTTAGGCCTCTCGAATCCCTACCTAAGTTTCTGTTTAACGTGATAACTTACTGGCTCCCCTAAGGGCACACGTGACTTTGTTATAGTACTTTCTTACATGTAATTTGACTCACTCCATTTTTTTAAGTTAACCATTGGTGAGTGTAAATAAAGTGTCAAGTCGCTACTAACACTTTTAAGCCTCTCACTGAAACTAAGTTTGCATGCAATCGTTATTCTACTTCAATGTCCACAGGAAATGTTTGTTGTTCTTCTTTTTTCTTAACCACGGCTTTAAAGTGTACATCAGGGCGCAGTTGTTCGAAGGCCGAATAGCACTAACCCAGGGTTAAATTTAACCCGGGTTTCTTTTTCGTTTGTTCAAAAGCATTTTCCCGGATTATTTTCTGTATTCTTTTTAGGCCATTCAATCATTAAACTGTAGACAAAAATAATAACACTGACTTTGCTCTTAAGCTTTGATATCTGAATTCAAATTTTGCACTAACCCTGGGTTATCTTAACCCTTCTTTGAACAACCCGGCCCAGAGGTTAACACGGCGAATTAGAACGGAATTACGTAAAGAAAAAACTTTTTTTTTCATTTCTCAGTAAAAGATCTCATTAACTTTGGTAAAAACAGTAAGGATACGGGACCTACATAGGTCCCGTAAATTTAGGTGGTATTTTTCCCGTAAAAAAGGTTTTATGCAACACCCGCAATTTCCGTTGCATAAAAGACACTTAGGTGAACACTTACGAGAATCGTAAGTGCAGCCACTTAAGTGAAATCCCTAAGTGGACCACTTAAGTAATTTAATGCAACTCACTTAAAGTTACGAGTACACGTACGTACACCGGTAATTGTTATGGGCGTTTTACGCAACCGAGCCCGGTGCGGACCTCAAAACCGGATGATAAAAGGTATAAACTCATTAATAGTTAATGCAAAGAAAACGTAGAGATTTTGAACTGTACACTCACCTATACCAGTTTGTGAGTGTCATCATGATGTAAAGAGAAGCCAGGAAGAAAGTGATATGAAAAAAACTGTAGTTGTAGGTGACAGCTGTTGACTCGTCGTCATAAACTTGCTGAAATCGGGGCTTGTTTTCGTCGTTGTTAACACTTCCACTTTCTGCGTCTAGATAACAAGAAACAGTATGAACTTTAAAAAAACGGCGATTTAATCAACAGAACAGGGAGACACACTCTAGGACAGCCTAGGAGTACACTTCTTACAGGTATATAAAATGCTTTGCGACAAATTTTCACGATTTTGCGTAAAGTAATATTCTAAATATCTTTATTATTGCGAAATGGCAAGAACAATACAACATCGCTTATTTCCAAAGTCCGGTGATAAGAATTGTGACGAAATTAAGGCTGCCTGTAAATGTACTTCCTGCAACGTGGTTGAAAATAATGGCAACCACTTTTTCACAGCAAAATGATTTTTTTTTAACTGAAATCATAAATAGATTCTGCTCAGCTTATGACAAAAATCGACAAAATTTGGTAGTCATGTGAGCGTACGTCCGTCCGACCGTCCGTCCGCACCACAGGGTAACCATTGTGACAAGTTACCAGTTTTTCAAGTGATCGCAGGCTTAACTCCTAATGGATTCTTTGCAACGGTTATAAGTTTATTGCTTGAAGTAAATTATAAATTTATCAACGGTACAGGAGCTTTAGCCTTGGCTGATCCCATATATTAAAGAACCAAGTACACACCTTGCGTATAATCTGGCAAAAGTGTCTCCTACAAATAAAAGATAAGAAACCTTTCATTTACGAACCATACTAGAAATACGTGTATCGCAGAACTTTGCAAAGCTCGGGGGTAGGTGGCCCATATAACTTGAAGAAACAACAAATTATTAACAATCATATAAATGAAAAATAATCAACTAATAAAAATAAAAATGGCTATTACTTTACAAATAACAATAAATTTATAAAATCATAAGTCACTGTAAAATTTATTATTACAAACATTCAAACCTCCAAAAGTAAATCCTCGCTTACATTTTTTGCCCTTTTGAGCATAAATACAGACCATCGCACAACTACTAAATGTCTGAAAATTTGAGCCATTACTTTTACAAACAAACAATTTACAAAGAGCGCATGGCTCATTTGCACTTAACTTTCTTAGTTAATATTGCTTGCAAAACGCTGCATAAATTTTTGAAAAACAAAATTAGCTTAAAAATGCGTAGATTATAGTAGAATCACAGTGGAATTCTGATTTTTTGGACCAGCGTGAGAATTAGTTTGAATTATTGTAAGGTTTGAAAAATCGGGGGTAAAATTGCAGTGTTTGACTGGTGAGGGGAAGGTAGGTTTTGTTCCAGTTTCGGGTTTTTTTTCCATAAACTTTTCAGGGATAGCTTGAACTTAGCAATATTGATAAGAAAAAGAAAAGACGATTTTCTTGTGGGCACCAGCATGAGCAATGTATTTCAGGGATTGAGGGCATGCACTTATTCAAATACAGTAGATACAAACCTCCATGCTACCACTGGCTGTGAGACGATTAGAGCTGGTTGTTCTGATGCTAAAAGAAAAAAAAAAGACAGAGAAAGATAAAGAAATACACGTACAGTCGAACGGAAACCTTGGGGACAGAGGAAAGTGGCCGTGGTGGGGAGGTGGGGGTGTAATATGACAAGTTGTTTTAGAGGCGTAAAACATGTTTATTGTGCCAAATTCATGCTTACTGTATCCAGTACTGATAATCCAATAATACAGAATATTATGTCCTGATAAAATACACAAAAAGAACTTAAATAAATAAATACAATTGCTGCGATTAATCATCAACGCGGCGCCAAACGGATCAAATGTCGTGACCATTTTTTACTTTACGTCAGTCGCTAAAAAACTGGCCATTGTCGAGAGGATATTTTGGCAGTTGCGGACGAGCTTTAGTGGCTGTTGCCGTTGTAGAGAGGTTAAACAAGAGTCAACCTATGGACTGTCCGCCGGGACAAAGAAGAGTAGCCATTGTAGAGAGGTGGCCGTTGGTGCAGGTTCGATTGTAGGAAGAAACAAGATGCCAGTGTGAGTGGATTGAATAAAAAAATCACATACCAAGAGTAGACCACCATCACGAACATCAGAACTGCTGCTAAGATAGTGCGTCCATTGCCAAGGCCAGGGGAAAGACTGGAACTGGAAATCAAGGAGCCACTTGGGTTGCACATCTGATCTGGGGATAACGTAAGCAAAAGCAAACATCTAAACAAAAACATCTAACAAAAACTAGCCAACAATGCAGTACTTAAAAAGAGAGGGGAATCAAGATAAGGTTAGGACTATACTGTGGGTGCAATTGAACAACAAAATTTAAAAAAAAATACACGCAAGATGTTGCTTTAGTTTGCTCGCCCAGAGTTCTAAGCTAGTCCAAAATTAAGCAATATTTTTTTCTCTAAAAAGTAACAGTAACAAACTCTTTCCTTGCCAGTAAGCAACTTGTAATAGAAACACCAAATAAACCAAAGAATTGTTCTGGATTATCAAAAAATACTTTTTCCTTCCCCTGGGTTACACAGTAACTAAAAATGTTGCAAGCAGTGCTAATGCACTTAAAGGATTCTCCATACCTTAAAGCAACTTTTGCTCACGAGATATACCTGCAGTAGATTTATTCCACTAGAATTATACCAAAAATTGACCAAAGACAGTCGAAGAAAAAAATAAAACCCCAAAGATGATAGGAGAAAAGCGCAATTTTTCCTTTATCTCACCAATAGTGAAATTGAATATTTGCAGGGTACATGACCAATACGTAGAAAAGAAGATTGTGTGGTTCCAAAAATTTTCCATACCCCCACTGCTTCCACAGAAGGGGTTTTTGCTAAGACCCCCCCCCCCTTACCTCTCTGGAAATTCTGGTCAAGCTTCATACATTTACTTAAATTTTTGGGCCTTTGAGAACCCCCCACGCTTCTTCCCCTTCTGTGGAGGGAGTATGGATATTTTCTGGAGCCACACCTTGAATAACTATTAGCATGACTAAAGGCATCGTAGAGTCCAAGGACTCACACAGTTCTTTTCCTTCACTGCATTCTTCAAACAAAAACTGTTGTAAGCGACATTGTCGTTTATATGTGTGCGAAGGACTACAGTCTTATCTGTTTGAGTAACATGACAAATCTACACTGTCACTCTTACATACCTGGTTCATTTGACATGCCTGACCAAGTCAAGTACATTGTGTACAAAGTGATAACTGCAGCCTGTAACAGTCCAGAACTTGGTTGACCTTATGAATCAAAAGCAAAATTTAAAATTAATATGCTTATGAAAATTGCAGAACTGACTGGCCAGACCATTCCCGTCATAATGAGAATTTCACTTTTAATCAGAACTATCCAGCCACTTTTGTCAAATTCTAAATAGTATGCATAAAGAAGATGGCTTTTCAGCAAAAACTCTTGGAAAAAGCTTATTGCCACAAAATGACTGGTTCAGTGGCCATGGTCTGGCCAGCCAGTACTGACTTTGGAAAATTCCCTAGGAATGATTGAAATTTGAAACTGACAGTTGAAATTAAAGCCATAGCATGCAGATCATAAAAAGCAGGTTTATTGAGAAATAATTTTTATCACAAAATTACACAAACTCAACAGCCATCTGATATGACTTACATTCCTGCACTTTAGGATGTATTGCGACCATGGAAACAATAAAGCACAGCACCAAGTTTAAACTGATGAAAAACTTGTTGGTCTTGCATCCCGATGGCTGAAAAACAAAAAATTATTGAAAAACACAAGATGAGTATAGACTGGCCCTGTATTTCCTTGTATAAGTGGCAGCCTGAGCATTCATTTAAAATTTCTGCCAAAAGGAGGGCACTTATGAGAAGGAAGATGCTTAACGAGGGGGGTCCAATTAAGATTTTCTGTCAACAAACTAAATAGAACTACATAGAGAAAGAAAAACTAGATCATTATCCACGTCCAAACATAAAATCAATAGAGTAAGTGTTTTTTGTGTTGTTAAACGGTGGTTGGTACAGTAAAAACCTGCATAAAGAACCTTTATCGGGAGGTTAGGCTGAACAGGTTGTTATATTTTAGGGTAGGTTTTCACAATTCAGTTACAGTGTAATAGATACTTATTTTTCATAGGTTGTCATAGTGTAACCATAGCGAGAAATATTGTACTTCTAATACATATAATGGTTTATGGAAAACATATTTCTAGTGAAAATCCAAACAAACATAAATCAAAGAAAACATAATTGTACACAATAACTTTTGTCAAATGTTTCTCGCACAATTAAATAGAGAATTTTTACCATCACAATTGGAGTGATTTAAAGTATTTTTCTTTCCCAGGCTGAACAGGTTCTTATTTTGGGGGGTATTTAAATACCACATTTCAGCCTGTAGGTTCTTGAAATCACTACGTTCTTATATGGCATTACTTTGAGCCCACAGACATACAGGTTAGAGTACAGGTCACTGTGCTGTGGAAAAAAACAATACTAACAGTGTCTTTCAGCCCAAATCACAATCTTAAATAGAGTTTTAGGTTAAGGGGGAACTGCTTATCTCAGTTAGTTATCAATACAGTGAGGACCTGCGCTTGTGACCTGTGGCCTGTGTTTTGTTTGTGGCTGCCACTCAGAAAGATACAACTTACTTCAGTGTAAAACAGGAAAAAGCACACAACAGCAGCAATGGAAAGGATATAAATTCCACTTGTGACTATCACAAGAGCTGAAATCAAAGTCAACATTTTCATTAATTGTGTTCAGCTTTAAAAAGTGAACTATTACAAGGCTAAAAATATATATTTCAAGAAAGAAAAGTCCAAAGGTTTTTGACACTAGGACCTAGGTTAAAAGATTTCACCTGACTTTAATTTTGAACTACATGTTTAACACATTCGTGGAGTGATCTTTATGGTGTACTTGTCTGAAAGATACTCATTTTGCAAGAGAAAAATTATTTTATGAACGACATGGGGTGATTTTGAAGGACATGTAGTTGAGCACAAAAAAGCAAGCTTGACTAATAAAACAAAACATGCTAAGTTCATCCTTAGCTATATCCCTGGCACCCCTTAATATATATAATGGTGATCTGTATGGTATATTTGTCTGAAAGCCACTCTTTTGTGCAAGAGAAAATAATATAACTTGATATTTACCAAACTAGTGAATAGCAACTTTTGCGCATTTTGATTGGCTATCGTAATTTAGAATAACCTTAGCTATTCACTGTTTTGTGACCAGAGCCAAGATGGCATCTTGATTCAAGACATTTTCGAAGACAAAATTTGTTCAATAAATGAAGCAGCTGTACAAACAAATAGTAAGAAAGTGACAAGCTGTGGCTTGTCAGTGTTTACTGGTAGGTAGAAAATTATTTCCATGTTGAATTTGCTACAAAATTGTAAAAATGCACTTTACAAATCCTTGAAATGTTTGTGAATTGTAAATAAGGTTCCTACTAAGTGACGTTTTAAATTTACAAAAAGTTACTTTTTTCATTAAATTTTTATCCAACTGATTTGGTAAATACTTAAACAACTATCCCCCCTCAGTGTCGGTGAACAGCCCTAGATATATACCTCTATTCACCTACCCTTGGGAGATAGTTGAATATTATTTTAATGACCATTATAGATGTACCTACCCCAGTACCACCTTTTGTTTCCTGTTGTCTCATACTTCTCAACCCTACAGTACAACAATTCAAACCAGCTTCAAAATTTTAAACATTTCATATTAATTTGGAAAAACCACTTTGGCTCATCAAAGGTACAGAAATTCAATGTGGCTAGAAAACTGCATTATAAACAGGATTTTGTGTACATGCAAATGCAGTTCAGTTCAGTTCAGTTTATTTCCCCCAATATTTTGACTAATGCTAGGTTACAGACTTTATGTTTACAGGAAAAATGTTGAGCACTATGAAATTACTATGAAACTCTGAGTATGATGGCCAACAGAATCAGTAGGTTTTCTAGTTGGCCACCATAATACCAATTATGTTTAAAATAAAATTAATACAGGCAATGAATTTCTTTAGAAGGTTTTTCACCTGTTCGATTGTGGCCTTTACTTAAGTAGTGCCGAAAGACGACCAAGCACTTTCAAAATATAATGTGACCAGCCACCATCATGACATTATATTCAGGTGAGCCCTTTTTACTTATCGCTAGGTTTATTGAATAAATTATTTTAATTTAGGTATTTGGAACCTACCATGATTCACTCCAGTTGTAAGCAAAGTCAATAAGTAGAATTAACTGCAGTAGTATAAACAGATATCCACCAATCATACCAATGTACATCCATGCTGGAAAGAATAATAATAATCATCATCATCTTTATTGCCAAAAGATAAAAGTACATATCTTTTGTTACATTCTAGTTGCCTATACACTCAATAAAAATCTACCCTAAAAATCAAACTAGTTAAACTACAAATGGATGATAGAATACTAGGTAGAAACTACCTTATCCTGTGTTTAAAAATCAGTCTATTTACATAAGATGTCATAAATCATTCAGTATTAACCTTGGGGAGGGCACACTGTTTTTTATGCAGATTATATAGAGAACAGAACACAAGTTTAACATATTCACTACAACACAACATTTTTCTGATATCCTATGCTTACAGTACGACTGATACATAAACTACCCTGTATACAACTCATCCTAACAAGGTAATTTCAATGACAACTCTGACAAATTATTATTGATGCCCATTTTTTAACTAGCCTGCACCAAAGACCCAAATAAACCTCTTATTAAGTCCATTGAAATCCTTGTTCTGGGTCCCCACCTGTTTACCAGGATTTGAGTGCACTGCATTATTGCGGGGGTGGATCCAGGATTTTTCAAAAGTGGGTGTCCACCACAAAGGACCTACCATTTTAACTACCATTTTTACGGTGTTAAACATAAATTCCTCAACTTCGTCTCACGTGTTACTTCAGCGCCACTATATACCATAATTTTTTTTCTGCAGAATACCAGTTGTATTAAAAAGCTGCAGGTCATCTCAGGGAAGGGGGGGTGTGCACCCCCCCTTCCCTAGACCTGCCCCTTTCTTACCTAATTAAAAATGCTACGGTCAATTTTGCCAGGTTGAAGGGAAAAATCCATTAACGGCCCAGAACAATGATCGATATTGGTGCTGCTTCCGCACCTTACTAACCGGGGTTTGATATTTTCACTTGAATACTTATCATTGATATACCTGTGCCAAAGGCTCCTCTTGGGATATAAAATGCCCCCACAAGAATACCAATGAAGATTGCTATCTTCACAAACCAAAATCTGCAAAGAAAACAAAATAGGTAAAACTACAACTGCCACATAAAAACAGGATCACCTAAAAACATTAGAAGATTCTACCAAAAGTAGCAAGATTTTTTTTCCCATTATAGTAATAATAAAAACAATTAAAAGAATGGTAAATATGTGCGCAATATGAAACAAAAACAAGTGTCTCGAATGGTCTGCTCTGCCATTTTGATTTCTACTTTTTCATGTGCATTACCTTGCAATCCTTACAAGGAGCTGTGGCAAAACACAAGTGGAGGACTATTAGTTAACCAGTACATTGTAGGAGTGAACAAAATGCATCTTCTTCAGATTTTTTCCAAAATTAACCAACACTGTATGTTGCTCTAACCATAGCAGGATTAGCTTAGTTGCTAGAGTACTTGACCGCAGAGTGGAAGGTTGTGGGTTTGATTCCTGGGGCCACACCAATACTCAGGGTCTTAAAATAACTGAGAAATAAAGAGTACTCCCTTTGTGTTGCAAGCAGCTAGACCTTTGCGTGGCTCGGATGACACATATAAATAGTGTCTCCCATTAGTACTTTCATGCTAAATACCTTGAAACTAAAATAAATTGCATTTTCTTTTCTTACAAAAGAAAGAGCTGTATAATTAATTTGAAATGAACTCACCCATTCTGGAACTTTGCTCTTGGGTCATGACTGCTGCTAACTTTGAACATCATGACTGCCATCAACAAGAAAAATGCAGCCATAGCAAAGCAGACACGATACACAGCTAAGTAGCCCACCAGGCTGTTGCAGTTCTCAGGAATATGCTCGCAAAATCGAGGTATCTCCTCCAACTTGTCTGTGATCCCCGGAGCAAGCATTACAGCAGACAAGACAGTTCCCATTAAGAGGAAAATGGTATAGACAATTCTTGAAGCCGTTGAGTTTTTGCAGGAGGGACAACGAGCACAGCAGCAGAAACATGCTGATGATCCACAGCAACAGGCAGCCTTTGTGGAGAAACAAAGGATATATTACTGTTAATCATACTATTAATGGTCATTAATGGTTGACACTACAGCTGTCTGATCATCCGGATGAACGTAGTCCTGAATAGGACTGTTGTTGACAGTGGCTGATGTTTCGACAGCCTAACTGGTAGTCATCTTTATATAGTAAAATTGAGTTGTATCGCGTCAGTTGATGGTATTTAACTCTGCTTATTGATCTGATTGGTAAATTAAGTTGTGAAGGAAGTCACAAAGTCACTTTGACTCAAACCACTCTTCAACTGTGGCAAATAATAGACGGATTGAAACACACCAATGACATTACGAGGCTTCATAGCCAAAAACATCATGGGTTAGATGACAATAACATTGACTTAAAACTACGACTTAAAACAGGATGTAAACTAGTGGCGATTTTGCTGCCATCTCATCCTAACTGCATGACATATTTTAGTCCTAAAGAAGCGAAAATAATAATTCTTCACAAGATTAAACTAAAGCTCTTTACACAGAAATCTCATTTGGTTTCGATGTTAAAATGATGCCTACAGAAAATATACAGGAATTTAGATCAGTTAGCGCTTGGAATGTTTCTTTTGCACACAGTTTGCATGCCAGCTTACAAAGTGGCCAAGTGGCGGAACTAATTAACCACTGGCTGGACCAGGGGCCTTCAAACGGGAACAGTCTTTATCTACAATGCAGGATTTTCGGCAAAGCTCAGAAGCTGTCGTTTTGTCACAATTTAGTTAAATGTTACATCAACTTACAGGACAAATGTGACCGTGCACGGGAAAACGTACCTTAACGCTTATCCGTTAAATGCTCTCTAACGGACGGATAGCTAACGGATTGTTAACGGCCTTCACAGCATTCTAACGTTTTGTCCTAACGTTCTAACGGTTATCTAGTTGTGCCTAACGGATGATCAAAACCTTCTAACGCTTTCTCCTAACGGTCTAACGGCTAACCAAGTATGTCTAACGGATGAAGAAAACGTTCTAACAGTTACGCAGTTTGTTCTAACGGATGACTGGAGCCGTTTAACGGTTGTCTAACGCTCTACATCTAGGGACTTTTAACGTTTGTCTAACGGTTTACATCTAAGGACTTTTAACAAATGAATAGCGTAACAGTTACTTTCAGTCCGATGTTATAAACACATGATCGTGCAAAACCATTACTAGTCTTACACTCGCGATTTTAAAAAAAACGAGTCACAAAGTGCCGATTTCATCAGTCGTCGATGAGACAAGCATTAAAAAAATTATTTCCACGGTGAGCATTAATCGAGAGCAAAACTCAGGGATATAAACTTTCACTTCCTCATCGAGACGGAGAAACTCAGAATTCCAGTCCTTTATTATCGTGTGAGAAGCAAACCTAACGTCGCTAAACCTGTGCGAAAACAATTTTAATCGCCAGTCGTGGTGAACATTTTTTAATTGTTTTACTCAAATGGAGTTGTCGCTTGTACTTATTTTTACACCATGACTCTGTCAAGAGTTTTTCTAAAGTAACTGTTTTACCTGGGCCAGCCGTGGATTCGCGAAAGATTACGCTTTCTATCTTGACCGAGCATGCGAAAAGCGCTGCCTTTTGAAGTCACGAAGTCAGTCTCGAAGCGACGACGTGTTGGCGCTGGTTTCACCAGATAAAGTTGTTTTCGTCACATGCATGTAGTTTAAAATTAGTTTCGTCTGATTCAGAGTTAGACAAAAGTCTATCAAAATATTCATCAACCTTTCCGCCGGAATATGGCCGTTTCTCACATCTTGGAAAATGTAAACAACTTTATGTAAATTTTGGAACCCACACTTTGTGAATTGAAACCAAATAATATTATTCTACTTCAGTTCGAACGACAAAGACCACTTAATTATTTTAATGATTGCAAATAGCGATTAAAGGGAACGGAAGAAGGTTATTGATCATTTGGGATCCCACCTCGCAGGTCGTAGCAATCGCCACAAATTAGCATTTTGACAACCATTGTTGCGTGACGAAACACGAGCACAAGTTCTTGACATGACTTTGTGATCAGTGTTTACTTCGCAGACCTTTTATTCATCGCAATGGCCATTTTGGTCGAGCTTTCCCCGTGTTTGTTTTATCCGTTTATGGCATTTATAAGATATTCTTAACTTTTCTTTCGTCAGAAATTACAGAACAAAATACAAGCTCTTGAAACAACCGGACTTTGCTGAAGTAAACAGTTCATATAATGTCGATCGTTGTTATGATTTTACTTGTCGGCAAACGTGGTTTGTTTTGGATCGTGTATAATAATTATAGTTACTGTATGAAGGCCGTTGAACGGATGCTAGTTTATTCTAACGGATCCTAACGGCTTCTCTAGCCGTACTAACGGATGCAGAGTTTTTGCTAACGGTTATGCTGACCCGTCTAACGGTCTGATGCTAACGGCTAACGGATACATGTCTCTTGCTAACGGTTACACTGTCCGTTCTAACGGCCTCATGCTAACTTCTAACGGCTGGACTAACGCCTCTAACGTTCTTAAGAAACCTTTCTAACGGATGACTAACGGATGCTTAACGCTTTTGCTTGTCTAACGGATAAGCGTTAAGGTACGTTTTCCCGTGCACGGTCACAAATTTCAGCTCCCTACTCTTCTTCTAAGATAAGAAACACTTACTTATGTCTTTTTCATCCGGACCAAGGACCACATACCTTACAGTGATGATGAGTAAGCTTCACTTAAAAAACATTCCTTGGTAAGATTTCCATGTACATATGTAACCCCATGCATTTATTATGCATGCAGCAATTTCATACTTTTTCTGAGTCACAAATAGTTTAATATGAATAGAGTCAAAACATGTATGCATAATAAATGTATGGGGTTTTATGGAAACCTTACCAATTGCTTTAATGCGTTGTTTAATATGAGTTTTTAACTAGTTTTTATAATTTTCATTTTTTCCTTCAGTTAAAATGTTGAAAAGACAAAATGTCGAAACTTTTACGCTTTTGAGTGTGTAAAACTCACTTCATCGTCTAAAAATTTTGAATAAAAATCGTACGCACTCACCAACCATGAAGTAATCTCTATATAAGCTTGAGTACTACCCTAATCGGATAAATTTGCAGCATAATAATTTTACATTCCAACATGGCGGATGACACTTACCACAGGAGCCAACGAACTTGCACACGAAGCGCAAGATGAAAGGGCTGCACAACTTCCCAGAGCACCTAACACCGTCCCCATCTCGTGTTTGTAAAAGAAAATTCCGCTTTAAGCACAAGATTGCTGTTTAAAAGTACAATAAAGTCACAATCGCCTTTTCGTGTAGACTATTTTTAAATGACGTCACGTAGGTAGAGCAGCGAAAGGCACTATGGGTCATGAAAAGAGTTGTTTCAGTTCTTTCCATTTTGTTGCGATGTTTCTTCTACAACTTGTAGTTTTCAAAAATATCATAGTATCGAATTTTTGAATGTGTATATCATTCCAGAACTTTTTTTTCCTATCAAAGAAATCACTACCCTGGGTGCCAGAGACTTTTCTAGCGCGGTTTCCGGTTTCCGTCAAGTCTTTATAGTGACCCGCGCTTCGCCGCTCGGCCGAAGATGTCGGCCTTCGGCCAACTCTGAAAATTCCCTCTGCACGCGAGAAAAACCTCTGGTACCCAGGGTAAGAAATCACTGTTGTTATCGAATTTTCTAGCAGTCACAACAAAGACCCCGTAAGGGACCCCATCCCCGATAAGGAAGTTTTTACGTTTACGAGCCGGCAGTTCTTCCCGCTGACAAAACAGGTGTTGATTTCTTCAGGTAACAAAATTATGATGGAGGCCGAGCTTCCGGAGGACGTGGAAGATGACGGCCGCGAAGAAAACCAAACGTTTCTCAATCAACAGCACCCTGGAAATGTGCTGTCCCGATTGCATGATCTTCGAGAGCGGGAAGAGCTCTGTGATGTTACAATTGTTGTGGAAGGAAGAGCCATAAAAGCCCATAGAGCAGTTTTGGCCGCAACGAGCCAGTACTTCAATGCCATGTTTACAAGAAAGATGAGTGAACGAAATCAAGCCAAGGTAGGCAATCCAAGGAGATTCGCCTCAGTTTATGCATGCGCTCTACAAAAACCTAAGGTGTTAAATAAAGTATGAAAGTGCAGCGACCGTTGACCATGCATATAATCGATTGTGTAATAGTTTTTCGTGGGAAACTGTTTTCTTTCCATGCAAAATTTCGCCTCCTTAATTATTTAATAATCATTATTTTTTGAAATTTATGGTACAGTGCAAATTTTGAAAGTTAATCCACATAAATAACCATTTCAATTTAAATTAATCCGATAAATCGCATTTGCCAAGCGTGTACAAATAACACACTTCGTTCACAACCGTATCTACACGTTTGCAAATGTTGTGGTTTAGATTTAATTTCTCTTCCGAGTTTTAAGTTTTTTAAGCCAGTTCTATTTCTGTTTTCCTTCGCCTCAAATAATGTTAAAGGATCTGAGATTTAAGAAAATGAAAATTAAACTGGTCTGGTTATTCTAAAAAACAAAAGAAACAACAAGCAGTTCATGGCCACTTACATGTAACTACTATGAATAAAGCTCAGGCTTTAAATGTGTCGAGGGGCTGCACTAGACTCATAACACGTTTAACTCAAGTGCTTAATATATTTTTTTCTGATCTTTTCCATCAACTTTGATTCATATCAGTCAAAAATTTTAATGTTCATGAATTCCTGCTAAATTTAGAATTATTGATTGTTTCACGAATATACACTGTAACAAAACGTACGTTCCAGGAAGGTTTAACACAAAGATATCACCAGTCAATTCTATGCGTGGCAACCGAAAAGAAACAGTTCATTATATATGTATGACCTCGGCGTGAGATGTACCTAGCAACTGGCTGAAGATAACAAGTTTACATTTATCACTCACAGTTTGTTCTAAATTATCAATATGTTTTATCTTTCTGATTAAAAAGAAAAATACCCTCTATTGCTTTAACATCTGCATGTTCAAAGCAGGGTTAGGGTAACCCAGGGTTAATGGCAAGTTTGAATTCAGTTGTGAATGTTAACAAAGCAAACTCCCATAAATTCTATAAGCCTACAGTCTGATGTTTGAATGCACTTATTTCCAACACATTTGTGTCCGATAATTGTCTGTGACAGGTAAAAATTTAGTTCAGACATGTAAAATCCTTTGACATGACTTGTCCGTCGTATAAGCACATTTTTAATTAGAAAATTAAAAAATATGGAAACAATTGAAATTTGTCTTCAAATTAAAGTAGAATTACTCTGTTAACAAGACGCCTAAAGTCGTTTCCGTGGGATGCGTTGGTCTATGGAAGCATAATGGCCTTCTATCTGAATTTGGAAAAATTAGGAAACCGGAAAGATGTGTCATGTTATGAGCATCGATGAGTAAGTTACCTGTATGGGTTGGTTTAATGTGCTTATTACTGAATCTATAGTAGCCTGCGTGGCAGGCTACTATTTCTCCCCAATCCACATCCCCTTTTTTGCTTCCTCCCTATCCCCTACCCCTTTCGACAGTGATCGCAAGGATGGAGTTGATCTTGTTTTGATCTATCGCTATGTAGTTATTTTCTAGCACGATTTGGATAAGAAAAAGAAGTTATTTTGCATCAAAACAAGGTTTACCCGTGTAACTTAAATTGGAATGTTAACGGAAACAAGTAATGGAGAACATGCGCATAATGCTCTCTGATTAACCTGAACAGGAGCTATATGTATAAAGATACGTCATATCTTGGTAGTAGGTTGCCACAGGTAACTTTAATTTTTCAAAGAGAAATAAACATTGTAGTTTTAGTTAATGGAACAAAACATCTGCTTGCTTTATCCAGGGTCGAACCCAGGGTTACAAAGTTCGATAAAGCTCCAATGTTTTAATCCAAGATGAAAGTTTAATATTCCAAGATGCTCTTGATACGGTTAAAAATTAATTGCAATGTGTTTCCAAGGTCTCAAAGTTAACATAGTTCCAATGATTATCCCTGATTTTAATAAGGTTACTAAGGTCCTGATCCGTGTCCCATCCAGAAGTCCAGTCCATGCCGAAAGCGAGTCGTCGATCGACGAGGACGATATTATCGCGATTTCACCGCCAGAATTTACGCGATTTAACCTCCCATCGTCAAGGTGTTTTCGATAAGAAAAGAAAAAACTGAACTCAAGCTGTGCTCGGCAAAATCTGGCGAACTCCGAATGGAAAAATCTATCGGAAATCAAGGCCCTCAACCAGACGCTACTAAAACCTTATGAAAAAGCTAGACCTAAGCAAAAAAGAATCATGAAGGGAAGAAATAATTTGGCTTAGGTCGCCTTTCGTGACTTGCCAGTATCCCGAAGGATTTCGCTGGTTAACAAGCCATCCTAAACCAGAGGAACCAGAGGAAGCAAATCGATTAAAAATCGATACAGATTTTGTACAATATGATTGGTCGGCTTGGAAGAAGAGATAATCGATAAAGATTTTACGCAATCCTATTGGCTGACTGTGCAATTTTGGGTACAACCGAACCGGATTTTTACCGTGGGAGTGCCACAGGCATCCCACGGAATTAGGAAGTATGTAAGTCCAAAAACTACAGTCTTCATCGTTAGGTTTTCTTTCAAAGCAAATGAGAAAAGAAAAAATCTTGGATGCTAGTAAAGAATTAAGTGAATCAAGAGAAGATCATTAAATACCCGATTGTTTTTGAGTATCGAAAACTTTTTGGACAAGAACTCTTGGAAGATCGAAGGGCCTCTGCTCACAGCGTAACCACCAGGATACCCTGTGCAAGGCACTGAATACATTTCGAACCCTAGAAACCGTCAGACTACACAACATTCTGCCAGCTATGATAATAAGTATCATGCAATTACTGCATTATTTATTTACGTATTAATCTTATACTGCGGAACCCTTTACTCCATTAAAAACATTGCTTGATGCCAGAAATTAGCTGCTAGAACAAAAATATAATGACAATTCTGTACATGTAATTGAGATTCAATGTCATCATATATGCTAACTCTCCCGGATTATCTGGGAGTCTACTGTATACGGCACTGATCTCCCGCTCTCCCATATGGGTCACACCAAATCTACCGGATAAAATGGACTTTTGAGCTTTTCTGTGCTTTTGTTTCAAATTTAGCCCGTTTTTTCCCTGAAAATTTGAACATTTTTTATTCATTGTACAGTTTCTGGGAAATTTCTGCATGTTCACTGACAAAGATTATTTTGTCGTTAATATGACGAAAGCGAATATTGATCACATGTACTTCATGTAAGACTTCATATAATGTCCTAAGCCGGGTCAATTTGTGGACGGCGTGGAGGTGGTGGGGCTGTTGTCATTCCAGGGAGGGGGGTGTAGTGCAAAATAGAGAGTCTCCAGATTTTAGATCTCCAGAGGTTGGCATCTCTGTGTAATTTTTTGTAGCATATTGTTTATTTCAGGGATCACGTTACTCCTGATAACCTCTAAATATTGATTACCTGTTGTTTGTTGTTCCAGTGGTGGCGATTATGTGGGAATAAGTATCCCCTTTTCAAGAAATTTAATGCTGACCATATTTTTTGCAGGAAGAAAACAAACTCATGAATGGAGACTCACATCAGTCATGATTTTTAGGCTGAGGACTGCAGCAACCATCTTGTGACATTTTTTTTCTCTGTATTTTTTTGTAGGTGGAGATCAAGGGAGTAGACTTTGAGTCAGCTGAAACTCTCATTAACTTTGCTTACACATCACAGCTAACCATTACAGACTCCAGTGTCCAAAATTTGTTTCTGGCAGCAGATTTGCTTCAGTTTAAATGGGTCAAGGACTCGTGTATCCAGTTTATAATGCAACAGATTGACATTGCTAATTGTGTGGGAGTGAGAGCTTTAGCAGACAGACATTCTTGTAAAGCTATGTACGAAGCAGCGACAAGATATATCATGGAGAACTTCATCAAAGTGTCTCAAACAGATGACTTTAAAGTTCTTGGTGCCAGTGAAGTGATCGAGCTCATTAGCCGGAGTGATCTTAATGTCTGTGATGAGATGGAGGTATTTAATGCGTGTGTAGCTTGGATTGAATATCACCCTGAGCACAGAAAATGTCACCTAGCAGAGTTCTTAAAAGCTGTAAGACTTCCTTTCATTTCAATGACAAATCTTCAGAAAGATGTAGCTGAACATCCGTTGGTCCAAAATGATATTTATGGCCGAGATATTGTGGAGGAGGCTGTTGCTTTTCATTTTGAACAGGCTGGGATGAAGATGAGGGACTCATATGCTGAGACTGTTTACATCCTAGGCGGGGAAACATCATTTATGAAAGAAGTGAAAAGTGTTGAGAGATACAATTGTCAAACTATGCAGTGGGAGATTGTGAAATCAATGACTGAGGCACGGGCATCGTTTACTGTAGCAACCTTGCAGGGCAAGTTATATGTGATTGGTGGTTATAGGCGAGGTCGGAAGCTGAATTCAATGGAGTGTTACAGCCCAACACAAAATGCCTGGATAAGTTTAAAGCCAACGAGCAAATGCCAGGGTGATATGCGGGCTGCTGTTCTTGATGGGTTTATTTATGTGGCAGGAGGATCCAGTGAGGGGCTGCTGACCTGTAGGTGAGTGGACTCAGTTGAAGGTTAAGTCTGCATTTGGTTCTTGTGGCCCATAAGGCCGCAGCTTAAAACGGCAGCAATAGCCTTGGCAGTACCTATTTACATGTATAAACCTGGATGTGTGTGCAGTGTAGATGACTTCAAACAAATTGAGTATTAACTATGTGCAATTATTGACTTTAAAATTTGTAATACAAATATGCCATCACCTACCAATAAGAGCTGTCCAGTGAGTAAGACTTACAGTAATAGAACTTTCCGGCATTCCTGTAAACAAAGATACCATACGGCAAGATTTAAGTTAGTAATAATAGTAAAATCCTTGATTGTAGCCTGGGAGCAGGCTAACTTGTGCAAGTTCGAGGAGGCAGAGCTGCCAGCGTGAGTCAGCAAAGCTGGCAAGAAAAATGGAGCAGGGAAATGTGAACTAGTATGCGGGCCATTGATTATTGAATTTCGCCCCTTTTGAGGTGTCAAAATACTATCCAATAGGAGCAAAGCAACATTTACATCAACCTTTTGGGCAGTTATTTGTATTGTCGAGTTCGTCAGAACGCATCCTAATCTGGTGTTCCTGTGGCACTGAGGCAGAAATTTTTCGAGCTATCACGGGCGACTGAAAATTAGCCGCCCCTATTAATTTTATCAGGGGCTCCTCGTCCGGGAAACTGGACTCCTTCCGACTCGATTTCGTTTCCGTAACTTTTCCGTAAGTGTCGCACGCGGATCCGTAATCAATGATTACCTCAAGCATACGTTCCTAATGGTATTGATTTGAAATTTCTGCAGCTATGTTGAACGCTACTCACCCATCACAGAAAGCTGGCAAGTCATGTCTAATATGCAGCGTCAGAGACGCCGTTTTGCTCTAGCTGTGCTGAACAATCATATTTATGCAGTGGGAGGGTTTGATGATAGTAAAGGTGATCTTAAACATGTTGAATGCTACGATCCAGCCAGCACCACTTGGACAGAGGTAAAACCAATGCAGTGTTGTAGATATGACTTTGGTGCAGTGCCGCTGTCGGGGTACCTCTATGCAGTAGGAGGAGCAAATGGAAGGCGGGGCTCACTGAACACTGTGGAACGTTTTGATCCACAAACAAATGAGTGGTCAATCGTTGCGCCTTTAAAGCATTGCCGAGGTGGACTGTCCGTCACTGTGCACTGTGGCAAAATCTTTGCCATGAATGGAATGAATGAGTACATGTCTATTGTGGATACCACGGAGAGTTATGATGAAGTACAGGACCGATGGAGTAGTCTGTCCGCTTGTACGCACACTGCAAGGTTCAGTGCCGCTGCTATTGTATACCGGCCAGTAATTCCGTTGCACACGAAGAAGATGAATCACATTAATACTTCGTGTCATGATCACAATGACGGGAATAGTTAGCCCTGATTCTTTCCTACTCCTAGAGGGGGGACTCGCATATGAGTCGAACATGCCTGATAGGGAATAGGAAGGGGGAGGAAAAAGCCTCCCATTTCCCTTCATTTTAGCCTGCTGACCAGGCGTTATTTTTTTTCGCGTTTTCCAGGCGAGCGAAAGCAAGCGGTAAGCGAGCTAGGAGCACCAGACAGGCATCCCCGTCGTGCGTGTCTCGTGTCTGCGGGGC